AAAAAAAAAAAAAAAAGAAAATATTTTGAACATTTTCAACACTCATGTCTTCAACAAAGTTGTGAGCTGTCAAAGGGTCCACGAGAGGAATCAGAAGTCACTACGAGCTGGGACCCGGGAGACGTCTCTGAGCTGGGACCGGGGAGACGTCTCTGAGCTGGGACCGGGGAGACGTCTCTGAGCTGGAAACCAGGGAGACGTCTCTGACTTGGGACCAAGGGAGATGTCTCTGAGCTGGGACCAGGGAGACGTCTCTGAGCTGGGACCAGGGGAGATGTCTCTGAGTTGGAGCCTGGGGAGACATCTCTGAGCTGGAACCCTGGGAGACGTCTCTGAGCTGGGACCTGGGGAGACATCTCTGAGCTGCAGCCTGGGGAGATGGTTCTGAGCTGGAGCCTGGGGAGATGGTTCCAAACTCCCAAATCAGAGGGTGCTCCAGGTGCCCGGTAGAGGAGTCATCAGCCACGCCCCAGGATGATGGCCCTTTCAGGCCAGGACAGCAGGGAGCAAAATGTGGTTCCTGCTAAGTTTGAATTCTAACAGAAATTTCTGACAAGCCTGTTTGTCACTGTCCTTTCCCTCGCAGGTCCGTGGATTATCTCTGAAATGACGAGAAGCACACAGGGCTCCACGAGGGCCCCGCACACAGCAGCACGGCTGCGGCCACTCTTCCTGCTGCGCCGAGATGAAGGGCAGTGCTGGGCCACCTGGGTTGGTCCTGAAGAGGGGGAATCCCGGGCCTCTAGAAAGATGGGACTACAACGTCCAGCATCACCGTACCAAACACTCCTTCACACTGGCGATCTCCACAGGGAAGCACCAACGGCACGGGGGGAGCCCGGCCAACGCTCAGGTTCACTCTGGGTGGGCCAGCCCCCTCCCCAAGGACCCCTGCAGCTTCGAGGGTCCCTGGGCACACGGCTCCACAATCCCCTCCCTGAGCGGATGACAGAGGACCACGGGCCTTTCGGTGGGGGCACAAATGTGGTTTTCTGTGTGTGCCGGAACCACGGGATGCAAACGGTGCTGACTGGAGCTGGGGCTGCCCCACGGGCCAGTGGAGCTTGCAGAGCAGGGAATCCTGCATGTGAGAGCCAAGGCCATCACTCGGATGGTGCCTGCAGTCCAATCTCCCTCCACTGCTGGCCTGTCCAGCCTCCTCCAGGCTTCCCCAGCCAGCTGAGTGCAGCCAGCCCTAGAACCTCCAGTCCCACCAAAGACCATCCCTGATTTCCAGGCCTGTCCCAGGCAGACTCAGGCCACCCACAACTGCCCAGCTGCAGGCACAGTCTGGACACCCTCTGGCTGCTGCAGGCCCAATCTCCCACGGGCCGTGCCGGGGCTTCCTCACCCCACTTCCAGCCTTCCTATCCCAGCTGTGGCTGCCACCCTCAGTGGTCAGCACCACAGAATGTCCCCCCCAGATATTCTCTAGAAAACTGTCACATGAATGCTCATGTTAGGTGTTGCGTGGAAACAGAGCCAGCAGGAGTGCCCAGGTGAGGGCCCCGGCCACAGACGACGCCCCTCCTCCCTGCGGCTCCTGCCCGCAGCACCACCCACTGCCAACCCAGGACCGCTGTGCCCCGGAACCTGCTGTGCTGTGCTGATGGCACCTGTGAAGGAAGCACGAGGACAGAACAGGCCCAGCTGCCCTGAAGAGCACCGAGGACAGAGCTCTGGCTGGTCAGGGCTGCACACAGCTGGGTGAGGGGCCACGCAGGGCTCCAGGGCTCCCTATAGTCCTCCCAGAGCAGTGGGTCCATGGGATGCGGCCCCCAAAGATGGGTCCACATGCTGACCCTGGAACCTGTGAATGGAACCTTATTTGGAAAAAGGTTTTTACAGAGGAAACTCGTTAAGGATCTCGAGACAAGAGCATCCTGGATCATCCAATGACTGGTCCTTATAAGAGACACATGGAGGAGAGACACTTGGAGGGAGCCAGGCCAGTCGACCACTGAGGCAGAGGCAGAGCGATGCAGCCACAGCCCAGGATCACCTGCAGCCCTCAGAGTGGGAAGAGGCAGGAAGGGGCCCCACAGGGTCTTCGGCCCAGAGACGCCTTGATTTTGAACATCTGGTCCCCAGATGACGAGAGGGTGGGTCTCTGCTGCAGTGAGCCCCCGGCTTTGGTGAGGGGTCACGGCAGCACCAGGTGCTCAGGCCCCTGGGTTCACGGCACAGCCTGGGTGCGCAGGCAGCCCTGCCGCCCTGCTCCCAAAGACTTCCAGAGCTGCCATCTGATAAAGGAGAGCCACCCTCGCCAAGCAGACCTGGAGCAAGCACTGTAGCCTGTTATGATGGTGAGGGCACTCAGGTGCCAATAAAAATAACAATTACAACAATGAAAATCACACAGGAAACCACAACACAGAAAATGGGGAGAAAGGCCAACGTGCCCGGCGGTGGGGGCTCGATCACTCCCAGCAGCGTGGGGTGGTCCCTCACTCCTGGCAGGGGGGTCTCACTCATTTCCAGCAAGTGGGGTCCCTCGTTCCTCGCAGGGGAGGGATCTATCATTCCCAGAAGAGGGGGGTCCCTCGCTCCCAGCAGCAGAGGGGGTCTCAGTATTCCCAACAGAGGGGAGACCCTCGCTCCCAGCAGGAGGGGAATCTCTTATTCTCAGTGGCAGGGGGCTCTCTCATTCCCAGTGGAGGGGGGAACTCTCATTCCCAGCAGGGCGGGGTCCCTCACTCCCAGCAGGGGGGTCCCACTCACTTCCCCAGATCGGGATGTCTCTGCTCTCTGCCTTCATCACGATGGAAGACATCGTCATGGTCACAGGGATGGCGTCGAAGTAGGATGAGTGAGGCGCGAGCGTGAGGATGGCTGCCTCGGTGGGCAGCGCCTGCCGCCCCTTCACGGCCACCCGGTGGAAGCCGCCGGCGAACCACATGGTGCGCATGATGGCCTTCAGCAGGAAGTCCACAACCCTGCAAAAGAGGGCGCTGCGTCACGCGGGCACATGGGCATGGGTCCGTGGTCTCGGAGGCTGTGTGAGGCACGGGGCAGTATGGGAGGGCCCTCCACGGCGCAGTCCAGGCCACGGGCTTCCTGCGGTCGCCGCTCCTGGGACATCTGCGTGAGGGAAGACAAGACGCCGCGCCTTCCTGGCCTCCGCCGTGCCCTCACTGGCTGTGCTCGCTCCTGTGAGGGAGGCCGTGGCCCTGTGTGACGGTCACGGCCATGCGACAGGCAGTGCTAAAACAGCATGAGACTCCCGAACACAGACAGCACAAGCCCCAGGCCAGAAGACCTCGGACCTTCATGTTAGCAACTTATTTACCAGCATCCCATCATTTTGAAATGGGAAAAACATTAAAACCCCTAAAATGCATATCGAAATATGGAGGGGCTCAGAGCTGACAGCGGAAGCTGAGACCTGCGTGCGAATGTCCCCACCTCATCTCCACAGGAAGCCCGGGGTTCCCACAACCAGGCGTTGTGTTATTACAGTGAGCTGTTTCTGGAAGAAATTAGATGGCCAATAAATTTGGAAAATAAAGTAAAAATCAGCCTAGGTTAACTGAATTTGTGTATCCTCGATCTCTTTTTAAAATAGATACAAATTGGCCGGGCACGGTGGCTCAAGCCTGTAATCCCAGCACTTTGGGAGGCCGAGACAGGCGGATCAAGAGATCAGAAGATCGAGACCATCCTGGCTAACATGGTGAAACCCCGTCTCTACTAAAAAGTACAAAAAACTAGCCGGGCGAGGTGGCGGGCGCCTGTAGTCCCAGCTACTCTGGAGGCTGAGGCAGGAGAATGGTGTAAACCCAGGAGGCGGAGCTTGCAGTGAGCTGAGATCGCGCCACTGCACTCCAGTCTGGGCGACAGAGCGAGACCCTGTCTCAAAAAAAAAAAAAAATACAAATTTAGCCTTTTAAATGTGTGTATTTGCTTTCATATGAGGTTACAGATGAGGCTGTTATTCCACACGTCAGGAAATTGACAGGCAGCAGACGGCCATGGTGTGTGAGAAGCCACAGGCCACGTGTGTCTTAGTCCACAGAGAACATGGTTCACCCTCGTGAAAAGCCACGTCTCACTCGGCCACTGGGTTAAGTGGGGGATCACACTGGGTAAAACCACGGCACAGAGAAGCAAGAGCCTGAAGCCTTACTGGATTCACATTCCCCTGGGATGGAGGAACCTCTCAGAAGACTTCCAGGACAGGGGTCCCCATGGATCTGAGCCAAGGCGGTCGCTGGGAGAGCACGGAGCCTCTCGCGGGGCCACCCTGGAACGGCCTTTGTGTATACGGATGATAAACAATGGTGTAGTTACGTAAGGAGACGCTGGGGACCAACCCAAGATGCTGCTTTTCTAAAGGAGAGGCATTACACAGGCTTGCACTTCTCCACCACCTGTTCAGCTGAACATTTAAAAATGTACTTTTCTGGCCAGGCAAGGTGGCTCACGCCTGTAATCCCAGCACTTTGGGAGGCCAAGATAGGTGGATCACCTCAGGTCAGGAGTTTAAGACCAGCCTGGCCAACATGGTGAAACCCTGTCTCTACTAAAAATACAAAAATTAGCTGGGCATGGTGGTGCAGGCCTGTAATCCCAGCCACTCAGGAGGCTGAGGCAGGAGAATTGCTTGAACCCAAGGGGCGGAGGTTGCAGTGAGCCAAGACTGCACCACTGCACTCCAGCCTGGGCAACAGAGTGAGACTCCATCTCAAGAAAACTAAACTAAACTGAAAAATAAAGATGTACTCTTATGTACGCATGTTATTTTTCACACACACACACACACACACAAAAAAAAAACACAAGTACAAAAACAAAAGCCAACAGACAGCAATTGATGCCTAAGATGGAAGAAACAAGGCAGTGGGAGAAGGAGAAGTGAGGCTGCAGAGGAGGCTGTGGCAGGCACAGGAGCCGGTTCCGGGCAGGCTCAGCTGCAGAGGAGGCTGTGGCAGGCACAGGAGCTGGTTCCGGGCAGGGTCAGGGGCAGGAGAGAGGACAGCAGAGAAAAAGGGATCCAAACCTGGGCAGCCCTTGGAGGAACACACCTGCCAGCCCCCAAATCGAATTGCAGGGTCAGACCATGCTCAGGGGAAATGTACTGGGTGTCGGGGAAGGGAAAAAACAGCCTCTGCTCGTCTCTAAAGATCTTGGAGGACTTTTATACCTAAACCATCCACGTGTGAAAACCCGGCCTGCTGGTGCAGGTGACGGCCTTAGAGAACAGCTCCGCTCGCTGTGGGGTGGGGGACCCAGGACCCACTCACCCCAAGGCAAAGGCAGCCAGCGCAAGCCCAAGGTGCTCAGGTGCCTGGGCAGCCCGTTCCCAGGCGAGTGTGAATCAGGAGACGGATCTATCTGCATACACGGGAGCGGGGATCTCCATCAGCACCCCCGGGAAATCCACTCCGTCCTACCGTCCTCACACAGACGATACCCAAGAACCCTGAGACGTGTGAGCAGAGCGGCTGCATGGTAGAGAAGCAGAGGCCTGACCCCAAGGAGACAGAAAGGGTGGGCATCAGAAGAGGGGTGCAAAACATCCACCATCGCCAAGAGAGTCAGGAAGAACGGGGTGCTCTGAGGGGCATCAAGGAACAAGAAAACACTCTCAGAAACCAAGACTCTCACTGGGGAGACAGCAACTCACCGGAAAGCCTGGGAAATGAGGAGGAGGATATCCCCAGAACATGCAGGGGGAAAAGGAGAAAGGCCGCTGAGGCCTTCATCCCCTCAACCCAGCCGGCGTGTGGAGGTGGGCGGGGGAGGCCCACACAGCCAAGCGTGAGGGGCATGCGCAGGCCGCGGCTCTGCAGGTTCCAAATGTTCTGCTGCGACCGGAGGCAAGAGGCGGAGAGGGCGCTGGAGAGGACCTGTACACAGGTACACAGCCTGACTGCTGGCTACGGTGCCGGTGGGGCAGGGCAAGGGAAGGGGCCCTGGAGAGGACCTGTACACAGCCTGACTGCTGGCTACAGTGCCGATGGGGCAGGGCAAGGGAAGGGGCCCTGGAGAGGACCTGTACACAGCCTGACTGCTGGCTACAGTGCCGGTAGGGCGGGGCAAGGGAAGGGGCCCTGGGGCCACATCTGGCAGGGCCTCAAGGAGCCAAGTCTGGTGCTGCATGTGGACCGGCCTAGCTGGGTCAGGGACAGCCCCTGGGCAGCTGGTGAGGGAGCTGTGTTGGGCTGCAAGTGTGGAGGGGCAGTCCCAGGCTGAGACGCAGGTGGCAGGAGCTGCTGGCTTCTGGGAGACTAGATAAAGTGGATCGACGCTCAAGTTCAAGCTCCAACCTCTAGGCCAACGTACGCAGAGTACCTAGAGTCATCACAGGGATGGCATCCCCAAACTTGGGAACGGACATTCCCACACAGAGCATTCAGGAAAGGGCACCATCATCTGAACCGTCCGGTCAGCCAAGGGACAGTCCCTGGAGGGCCTGGCCCAGCTCAGGACTTGGCCAGCGGTCAAGGATTCAGCCCCAGATGGTCGGGTTTTGCAAAACGATGCTACGGTTTTTACAACACTGTGTGTTTTGAAAGTAACTTAAAATAGTGCCTTTCGCGAAACTGTGTCATTCTTTCACTGAAAGCCTAAGATTTTTATTTTAGGAAGGTTTGAATGACACTAACTTACATTCAGCAAAAATGCTTTAATTCAACATCAATCTATTCAAAACTGCAGAGCAGAGCATAACGTGAGCCAACTGAAGTCCCCACCGACTACGTAATTATTATTCAGCGGTACACTCTGAATCTGCTACTTCAAATCCAGCTTTCTCCTGATCCCCTGCGTCCCTAACTACAGTGCTTTTGTGACTAGGTTTCCCTTTGGGGAGTTCAGAATTCAGGGTTTGTTCTCACTTCTGTTTCCCTTCAAGCACCAAGCCAAGCCCAGGACTGTGCACCAAAGAGCTTTCATCGGTGCTGCTGAAGGAGACGCCAGGAGCTCCAGGGGTGGGATTCAATGCCAGGCAGCACGGGCAGCTTGAGTGCCCACGAGCATCCGTGCATACTCTCTGACATGCACACACGTTCACCTGCACACACACAGGCACACATTCACACACATACGCACACATCGCTCTCATATATACTCATACACACATGCACACACACTCATACATATGTACACACATATACTCTCATACACATATGTACACACATGCATATGTGGACACCTGTACACATGTACGCTGCACATATACACACATACACACATGTACACAGTCACAACACTCATACACACGTACATGCCATCATACACGTACATGTGCACGATACATAGACATCCATCCATACACACATATATATGCACTCACATGTACACACATGCAATACACACATGTACACAGCACACACATATATACACTCTCATACACACGCATACTTGCACCGGCTGCTCTCATACACACACGCAACCACACACCTATGCACATGTACCTACTCTCGTGCATGCACATACACACGTATGCACACTGACATGCACATATATACACACATACACACACGTGTGCACTCTCACATACACCCTCTCTGCACACATACACAGAATGATATACAGTGAGTCTCCACAGACCCAGATGCCCAAAGATCTCATGAAGCAGAGGTGACAGGATCCCAGCGTGTCACTGTCATGGTACACTGTACATGTGCACGAGATGTACACAGGAAAGTGTCTCTGAAGTACAGCTGCTAGAATAAGAGTCCGTCGTGGTCCATTTACCACCTGATGAAGCCAAGTCAATTATTCATAGATAAGAAAAGCCACCAGGGTTAGCACGGGGAAATGGAAAATTGCCCCAAGCCGTCTATTTTTGAAAAGTGGAGCCTGTGCTTGCACTGGGCTGATGCCTCCCGAGATAGAACAGAGGAGGCGGGGAGCTCAGCCCGACAAGGACACAGGGGTAAAGAGAAAGGGTGCCAGGAAAGCACCATGAAGCCACTGCGACCCACAGCAGCACACTCAGCCAGGTCACCTGCAGCTTAACACCACAGAACCCCCACTTTCTAGCTGTGGCTTCTCAACTCAGCAAAACTCAAAGCCTGACTTTGATATGGCCTTGATCTATTTTGCTTGGTTATATATTTGATACCCAATTCCTATTTTATGGTTAAAACATTTCAAAAACAAACCTCAAGATAAAGCATATTCTTCAAAGAGAATTTTAAAAATCTAGAAAGGCAAAATGAAGAACCAAAGCCAGTGATAATCCCATCGCCCTAAAGAACCCAGGTTGCCCCAGGTTACCACCACCCAGCGAGCTGCTCAACGTCCACCCGCTCAGCAGGGCCCAGAGTGAGGGGACCCCAGCGCCCAGGCTGCCCTCAACTACAACTGCACCATGTCTGCACGCAACAGGGCGGCAAACCCGGGACCCTAAGTGGCCGTCTTTCCCCTGCACCTAACTGCGTGTCTGAGTGCGGCCCTGGGTATCGAGGAGAACCGAAGCACAGGCAGATGTCAGCTCCTGTCAGCCTCTTGGCCATGAACACTTTGGTGCACATACAGCTCACAGATCAGACACCTTCCAGAGAAAGGAGGGGCCTGGGCATGTCCACTACACCTGTCGGCGGCCAGGCAGTGAATGCATTAGGCTCTACGGCCACACGGCCTCTGTCTCAACCACCTGGCCCGGCTCCCCACCAATGCAGCCCTGAGCATCACGCAGGCGAGTGGGCGTGCCCGTGCTCCGGTAAAACTTTATTTACAGACAGGCAGCAGCCTCCAATTAACTACTAATAATCCTCTTTCTGAATAAAAGATTCTGGGAGCCCCTTCAGGACGATGAGAAACGTTAACAACACATGGAAGGGTTGTCAGAGCTGTGGTTAATAGGACATGAGTGATAACTTTTAAGACACTGAAAATATTTATCAAAATATTTATGATATCTCAACATTTTCATTTGCTAATGGCAGATACTTTCAGGAATTTAAATGAAACAAGAAAATATTGTGATTTAGTTTAATTTTTTGTGGTCTGTTTTGGATCTTTAGTTTAGATGTACTCCTCATGGGGTAGCTGTGCTTTATTTATATTCTGTGCTTAAAAGCAGGAAGAGTTTAGGTCCACAAAGCAAGGGGAAGACGGCCCTGGAGGGGCGGTGCCAGCAGGCAGCAGGCCAGGCCAGTGTTGGCTGACATGCAGGCTCGGAGGGTAGGGAGGGCCCGGGCCTCCTGTCCAAAGGCAGGGCTGGGGCCTGGCTCCCGCCAGTTGCTGGCCCTGGGGAGCAGTTTCTGCTTTTCCAAGCCGGGCCGGAAATGGGGATTCTGATGTCAAGTCACTGGACCTTTATGATGCGGCAACCTGTTCCCACTTAGCCCACTTTTAATAAGACCAGGTTGGCAGGAGATGCCATGGCGGCCACCTGCCCCCCGAGCAGCCGTTCCTCTCACTGCTGCTGCTCTTACACCTGGAAGACGGCCCCTCCCGGGCCCACAGCAACCGTACCAGGTCCAGCTGCCTCTGCATGGGGGCCACTCCGGTGGGGACGTCCCTAGGCAGGAGGCCTATGTCACCGTGGTACCCTGTCAGTGCAGCCCAAGAGGTCGTCCACTCACAGCCTGAGGGTCTGGGGGAGGCCACTATGGACAGGGCCAGAGCTGAGGGCCTGAGGTGGGAGGGGTAAGGGGGCTGGAGTCACAAAGCCAGGACAGGGTGTCCAGAAGCCTGACTTCCATCAGCAACAGGGAGCCCCGGCAGGTTCCGGAGCAGAGAAGGCCACGGTGTAGGCGGATCTCTGTGCTCAAGGACTGAAACAGTGGCCACACGTCCTGCAGAGCACTGGAAAATGAAGCCTCAGAGCAGGACTGTGGCGGAGGCATGGAAGAAGGAGGCAGCAGGGAGGTGGCCGAGTCCCCACTGGGAGGTGGCAGCCCTGGTGGATGCTGGGCTCGGAAGGGAAGGACGGATGGGCTAGGGTGGAGAGACAACCCCACTGGGAGAATGGGTTCCCACTGTTTGGCCGCGTGACCCCCCCACAAGGAGAGCACAGCACATGCTCAACTTACTTCCTCCACAGGGCCAGGGGCTGCTCGGGTTCCTTCTCCGCAGAGCCCAGGGATGCGACAAGTGCGAGGGGCCAGGCCAGCAGCATCATGGCGGCGGCAACCAGGAGCCGGACCGGGAAGAGCGTCAGTGTCATGAGGGCCACCTGCGGACAGAGGGGGGCGTTATCCAGAGAATCCATGTGGGACGCCAGGCAGCTCCCCACCCGGCGGAGGTCAGCCCAGGGGGACAGCACGCCCCGCAGAGTAGAGAACTGGGGAGGGGCTACAGCCGGCACACAGCTGACCAAGGCTGACCAGCACTGACTAAGGCTGACAAAGGCTGACCGATGCTGACCAGTGCTGACCAAGGCTAACCAACACTGACCAGCACTGACCAAGGCTGACCGGTGCTGACCAAGGCTGACCGGTGCTGATGCTGACCAGCCCTCACCATGGCTGTGGACACTGACCAGTGCTGACCAACATGCTCCACGCCCACTGCCGGCTTCCTGCCTACTTACTGGAGCTGCCAAGCAAGTGGCTTGGGAACAACACAGTGGAGCTTCTCCTGCAAATTCAAGGGCCACTCTGACCCACGGGACACATCCCCAGGCAGCTCCGACCCCCAGGATACAGCCCCCAGCCCCCCAGGCCTCACTCAGCAGTTTCCCCTGACATCGTTTATGTGGGCATGAGAATGCACACGCCACCCTAGGCAGTGTTGGTGACGTGGGGACGTAGCTGGTCCAAGGTTGGACCTCGGACCACAGAGAAGGCGGCAGAATGAAGCTGTGACTTTCCAGCCAATGGAAGACCCGGCGCAGGAGAGTGGACTGGCAGGAGGGCAGGGGTGCAGGTCAATATGGGGGCTCAGGAAGGCCCCCCATGCCTAGGGCAGGCCCCCACGCCAGGGCAGGCCCCCACGCCAGGGCAGGCCAAGGCTGCAGGATCCCAGGCAGCCCAGGGTCTGAGGATGGAGGTCCCTCTGGGCGGCGGGCAGGACTCCATGCAGAGGGGCTGGAGGCTTTGGGTGAGGGGAAACACCAGTCCTGAGGTGCAGGTTTTGTGCACAGAGACAGAAAAGACCCAGGAGACACAGATCACAGTCGGCTCCCAAGCGGCAGCCATCCCTAATTTCTGATGCCTGTCATGAGAACGCCCCACTGTTTCCTTGGTTTGTCACTAGATTCTTTTGGGTTCTAAACAGAGAACAGCATAGCCCAAAAGAAACATGCCAGCCACATGCGTCATTTTAAATTTTCAAGGGGCCACATTTAAAGGGAATGACAATTTAATATATATAGTTCATTTTGCCCGATATATCTGAAATATCATTTCAACACGTACTCAACATAGAAGTTGCTACTGGCTAGTTTGCATTTTCTCGCGCTGTCTTGGATGTGCAGTGTGCATTTCACTCTCACGGCTTCACGCCACCCATGTCTCCACCCTGTCAGGGTCCAGCGGTCAGGTCAGCCTGTCGGGTACGCAGACCTAGACGATGTTTGGTTTGCGAGAGGTGGCGACCTCGAATGTGCCCCTCCTTCCCCCGCTTCCGGGGGCTCCTCCTCACCCCAGCGGGTTCCCCGTTTCAGCATGGCCCTCGCCGCGTCAAGCAACCACAAACCTGTTACCCCGCCACTGGGGACGCCTGTCACTGTTCCATGTCGTGTTATGTTACTGGCGTTCAGCAAACGTTCTTTACTGCCGAGAAACCTTCCCAGGCCTCGTCCTCCACGAGCTTTGTCTTGCTTTAAATCATGAGTGGGTGCTGAGCATTATCAGAGGGTCCTTCCTGCATCTGTGGGGGCAGCCACGTGCTGTTTCCCACTTTAATCTGCTACTGTGATGCCTCACGGCCACAGTCTCCCTAACACTAAAACCAGCTTCAGCACTACCGTGAGGTGCCGCTACCTGTAAGGACTGTTTTTTAAAAGGAATTGCTAGGTCTGTTGGGTAACAGGTGCTTGGGACTGTCACCACCTGTTGAGTAAGACGCGCCTGTCACTTCCTCCCGGCGGCTTCCTCATGCGGTCGCTCTACGAAACCAGCGTGCGGCCATGCCTGCCGGCAGCTCCTGACCGCTGCCTCACTGTTTCCAACCCTACTGCCTAAAAGTCCCTCTTTTTCCTTGGGTTGACCTCACTATTTTTGTCAATGAGGAAATCTCTTCCTGGAAGCTTTTGGCATATTTTCCCCTCCCACTACCAAGGTCTCCCCCCAGCTGCCTTTAAGATAATTGAGTCAAGTTGCCCACCACACTCTCCTTGGGTTTACACCAAGGCTACTCTCTGGTTTCATTTCTAACGTTATCTGTGCCTGCCAAAACTTCTAAACCCACGTCGCCAGATACTTTTCTATTTTATCAATCTGCTTACAGAACCATTTCAGATTTGTTCATTCTCTCTGTTGTGACCTAATCATATTAATTTTGGCTCTTATGAGTTCCTCTTTCTTCTGCTTTGAATTTAGTCAAATGTTCTTTTCAACTTTTTGAGGGAAAAGCCCACGTCGTTATTTTCAGAAACACCTTATTTCCTGATATTCACATTTAGATCACAGCTTCCCCTAAGGACCACCTTGATTTAATCCCACAAATCTAAGGGGCAGCCTTTTCCTTTATTTGTAAAATTTAGTTTTAAATATTTCATCCATTCCCATCTACTGGTACTGTTTCATATTTTGTTGCAGTGGAGGAGACCGTAGCCTTGGCCTTCAGCCCGCCTGGTCCTGGGGCTCCAGGGCCACTGGCTGGGAAGAGGCCACTCCGGGGTACACAAGCCTGGCTCTGCTGTTAAAGCCGACAGCTGGGCCGGGCATGGTGGCTCACATCTGTAATCCCACAGCCTGCTTCACTCCACCTCTGGCGTTCCTGAAACAGCACCGCCGGCCAGGCCATTCCATACGGGACCCCCACTGGAAAAGGCTCTGGGGCTGGGGGAGCAGCGCCCATCCCCAAACAACACGGGGCATGAATGAGCCCTGGGTGGGGAGGCTCTGCCTGCATCCAGGGTAGTCAAGCTGCTGGTCCCTTAGCATATGGGGTTCGCTGGGCCACCCAGTGGGGGGACACACTGTGTGACCACGTGACCCTAGGCCCATGCACCCCTGCGCCTGCTCCTGCGCACACAGGGGAGACGGGGCGACCACCCAAGCCTCAACTTACGCATCCCTGCACCTGCTCCTTCGTGCACGGGGAAGACTGCGTGAACAAGTGACCCTCTGTGCTGGCTCCTTCCTGCATGGGAAAGAATACTTGACCAGGTGACCCTCCCCACCCGTCAGTGCACCTACTCCTGTTGGCGTCCCAGAAGACAGCGTGACCATGTGACCCTCAGCCCATGCATCCTTGCGCCTGCTCATGGTGCATCAGGGAATGCAGCCTGCGCTTCTGAGCTTAGCGGCAGCAAGGAGAGGGGCCTGTGGGCCACAATTGCAATCGCTGACCCTCGGCAAACAGGGCTGATGAGTGGAGGGTGGAGCGGGAACACGGCCAGGGAGGAGCTCCCCAGGCCTCCGGGAGATGGGGAGGGCGTGGCTCTGCTCTGCAGTGCCATGAAAACTGCTTGGAGAGGGGGCCTCTGGGAGCCCCAGGTAGAAGGAGGAGCAGTGCTCCTAGTGAAGAGCCCAGGCATCTCCACCGCTCTGCCTTCACTTCACCCAGCTCTGGGCCTGTGCGCTCTTTCTCTGCCAGGCTCGGCCCGCCCACAGGAGCCCAGAGCCCTCGCCAAGGAGAACAGGGCTTGGGAGACTGCTGTGGCTCCTTCCAGAAGCTTCTATGCCCCCGCACCTTCTGCCCACCCTCCTCCACAGGCCTCACCCCTGCATCCAGCCTCAGGCCCACCCATTGGGATCCTTCCATTCCTCATGCCCCCACACCCTGGTGCAGATGGGTCTAGATGGACTCTGGCCCCCCCGGGAGACGCCAGAATGGCAGAGCTGCAGAGAAAGAAGCTGGCTGGGGCAGCTGCGGCAGCCAAGCCCTCAGCACCGGCAGGGGTGGCCAAGGGAGGTGCTGGGTAGGCAAAGAAATTCTTAGAAAATCCTGGCTAGACCTGAAACTCCCAGAACAATGGCCCTCTAAGGAAACGGGCCTGGCCGTGCGGTCTCCCAGGCAGCGTCGCTGGAGACTCAGGTCACTAAAGTGGAGGCACTGGGCACAGCCATTCCTTCCCGAGGCAGCTCTGCAGTGTCCACAGAGAGCAGGCGTGCGTTTTCAGACCTGAAGCCACAGGGACACATGGCAGAGAGGGCAGGTGTCTGTTCTCCTCACCTAAGCAAGGGCCAGCACCCTGGCTCAGAGGCTCCCACAGAAGCTCCCTTGGCACCTTCACCAGAGGCAGCAGGGGCAGCGTGCGGCCCAAGACATCACTGCAAGTCACGGACAGGGATAAGCAGGCTGTCTCATGGACAAGGCGGGCAGCCGTGGGGAGCCGGAGCAGCCTCCAGGCAGTGTGGCCAGAGGCTGGATGCGGGGAGGCGGAGGGACTCAGAGAGAAGATGGACCACACTCCGGGTCACCACAGGTCAGGCCTCCACGCGGCAGCTAAGTGGGGAGGACGCTGTGGACGCCTGCAGATGCTGAGACCTGCAACCTGGCCCTCCTACGACAAGCTGCTGATGGCTGTGGACCGGCTGTCACCATAGGACCCTGATTACCCTGAGAAATGCCAGTTGGAGGAAGCACTATGGTCACCCTGTGTGTGAGCCATAAATGAGGGTTTATAGCATAATCCTATGAGGAACTTTGTCTGAAGTCTGAACTATTTGAAAGTTGGCTACGATAGACCAGGGCATCCAAGCAGTGACCTGCCCACATGCATGGAGAGCTTTGGTGCAGACTGCGGCTGCTGAATACCACTTCCCAGCAGAAGGCCCAGGGGTCCTCAGCCAGGCTTACTCCAGGTCACGGGTGGGAAATGCAGAAAGGAAGATGGGACAGCACGGCGCAGCCCACATCAGGGAAGCTGGCAGGGGCCTGGCGCGGGGGCTCACGCCCGCAGTTCCAGGAGCATGGTGCAGCCCAAATCGAGGAAGCTGGCAGAGGCTCATGTCCTGAGGGCTGGCTCGAGGCCTACCCAGCTCACACACACTCACGTGGCAGGGGTGCAGCAGCAGCCAACCGAGCCTGGTGCAGGAGCAGCACAGCAGACCGGTGGGAACTGACCCTCTCTGGGTCCAGATGCAACCACCAGCTTCCAGAAAACCCCAATGAAAACAAGGAGATGCAATCAATCAGAAAATGCAGAGAACTCCACAAAACACAAAACTCCACCAAACACAGCCCAAATCCATTGCAGCAAACGAGCAGGAGCTGGAGGACCCTCCTGATGCACACGCACCAGAGGCCCGAGGCAGCCCGCTCACCCTCCACCTTGTGGGGACACAGAGGTGCCATCTATTGACCCGGAGGGGGCCCTTGGCAGACACCGAATCTGCCGGCATCTTGGACTTCAGCCTCCAGAAGGGTGAGAAATCCACGTCTGCTGTTTAGGAGCCACCTCGTCTGTGGTCCTTTGTGACAGCAGCCGCACCAAGCAGGGCAGGCGCAGTGGGAGTGCACGTGACGCCGGCCTGACCACACACCGTCATTCTCCAGGCTGGGGCAGGTCCCAGGCCCACCGTATTATCACTGCTTTGGTGTTCTGGGTTGAATTTTGCTCCCCTTCCCCAATTCCTGTTGATGTTCTGACCCCCAGGGCTCCAGAGCGTGACTGTATCTGGAGATGGGGCCTTTACAGAGGTGATGAAGGTGGACTGAGGTCATCTGGGGGCCCTGAGCCAATCTGCCTGGTGTCCTTATAAGAGGAGATGAGGACACAGACACCCACGGAGGGACGGCCCTGTGAGGACGCAGGGAGAAGGCGCCGTCTGCAAGCCCAGGAGAGGCCTCAGGAGGAACCAGCCCTGCTGCGCCTCCATCTCGGACTCCAGCCTCCAGGATGGTGAGAGAACAATGTCTGTGGTTTAAGCCCCGTCTAAGGCATTTTATTAGGGAAGCCTGAGCTGAGAAAGACATTTGACCTATGTTTGAAATTTCCCATGACAAAAAGTATAAAAGTGATGACTCTTGGTTTAAATGTAAACAAGGCCATCCTAATGTTGGCCTGGAACTCTCTGGAAGTCTCTGAGTGAAGGCACCGGTGGTCACAATGCCCAGGCCCAGGCTCTCTGATGTCAGGCAGCTGGTAAACCCCTCCCTCATCTCTGCCAAGGCCACCAGGGCCAAAAGCAGCCCCAGACCCCAGCATCGCCCGGTGTTTCACAATCACTGCTGAACCCAAAGACACGACGGTCTCCAGAGAACATGTGGTCCCTCTCGTGTGCACTCACACCATCGTGGTGCCCGGCAGGGGAGCTGGTGAGGCGCACCAGGTGCACTCACACCATTGTGGTGCCCGGCAAGGGAGCTGGTGAGGCACACCAGGCGCACTCACACCATCGTGGTGCCCGGCAGGGGAACTGGTAAGGCCCACCAGGCGCAGTGATGCTGCGGCCCCTTGGAACCCACGTGTTGGGGATGTCACACTGCAGTGCCCAAGTCAGTGAGGGGCTCCAATGCACCTGCAACAAGGCAGGGGTGGAGGGGAGTCTGCCCGAATGACAGGGCCCGGAGACTTGAAGGACGCGGGGCTGCATCACCCCGCACAGGCGGCCGCAGGAGATGCTCAGTGCCAGCCACTCCCTGGCTCTACGGTTAGCGCAGTGGAGGCAGCTCACAGGAATCCTCCCTCCTGAAGGTGCATCCTGACATTGCTGCTTTAATTCTAGAGAAAAAATTATCCCGACTCCACAGGATATGTGACAGTGCACTTGCAAATCCACGAAAGTACGTTCACTCCTCGCACGGTGAGAGGGTGAGAGCCAGCACACACGGGCGCCTGCTGTCCAGGGGCTGCTGCCACAGCCACATCCTGGGCCGTCTTTGCTTCTCAGACGCTTTCGATTTGTTCATAGAAACAGAGGGAGACTGTGTTCACAGGTGGAGTGTTCAGTCTACCCCATCTCCGGAGGGCACCGAAAGCACAGACCCGGAGATGCGGAGGAAAGATGCTCCTCTAGAGCGAAGCAGAAGGGAGGGGAGGCACGGGGGTGGGGGCTGCAGGCTGCTCCTGGGAGCCCTACGGGTCAGGGCTGATGCCCTTATCCCACAGCACACGACCTGGGAGTCCAGGTGCTCCACAGCCGGGGAAGGAGGGAGGTGCTCAGTGGGAACTGGGAAAGGTGGGCTCTCGGGAAGGTGAAACAAAGATTCTGGTAAAACACCTTGCTGCCAAATTCACCTGGGCTGGGCTGGACAGACTGGGAGCGCCCACCCTTCCGGGGAGCCCTGGGAGGCACTCCTATGTCCGAGAGGGCTCTGCATCCCCCTCCTTTGAGAAATTCCACCGGCTCAAAAGAGGAGGAGAGCAGGTGTGTGGAGGGCGGGCACCGGCCTCCTGTCACGACCCATCCAGGGCACCATGCTGGTGATGTCCGGGCTCAGCAGGAGACCGCCTCTTGGGGCACCTCTCTCTAGCGGGTTTTCCACCGAGAGCCCAGGTACGACCTGTGCCGCTCAGAGCAAAGTGCCTCAGAGGGGCTGGAGGGGAGGGAGGCCCTCGCTGAGGCTGGCAGCAGGCATCCCAGGAGCTGAGCACACGGGCTGGGCAATCGGGAAGGCGGCCCCAGGCTGTGGATTTCATCACTAGTGGCAACAGGGCAGGATGCTACCCAGGGTGCCATGGGGGACAGGTGAGTCAGGGGTCACCTGTGCAACAAGCACCTCGAGCCAGTCGAGGGAGAAGCTCCGAGCCACACAGGGCACCAGGGATGGATTCCGAGGTGGTTGAGTTGAGGTGAGAAGCAGCACAGGGCTGGTGCCTTGTGCCACTGGGTCAACATTCAATGGCAACCCAAGCATCTTCGAGGCTCCTGCAGGAACCTCGCAGAAGTGTGTGACTGGGGAGTGAAGTCACGCATTAGGCGGGGCCTGGGTGGGGAGAGGCACAGCACAGCGAGGGGCTGCCAGGCCCAGTGCCCGCCGAGCCGGCCTCCAGGTGGCAGCACCAGGGCCCAGGGTGTCCAGAACTAGCAGGTGCCCTGACCTGTGGGCTCCCCCACCCCTGAGGACACTGCAGGCCAGGGCACGATGCGGCCCAGGGCACAGAGGCATCGTTATCGTGGCCACCCTCAGATGCTGAGGGGACGCACCAGAGGCCCGGAGGCCCCAGCCTGCGCCCCAGTCCAGAAACCCAGAGCAGTGGGTGGCAGCCAGCCAGAGCTGCTCATGGACAGTGCCAAACAGAAGCAAAGGCCGGTGAGACCCAAAGACGCGGTTTAAGGAACAATACAACACATTAATAGCCAGCCCCAAAACCAGTTAACTCCACACCCAGAACGGAGTGCACACAACACGCTAGAATTTGCTGAGCGAGATGTAGAGATGGGGAAGGCCAGGCCACACTTCACTTCCTGCACCACCCAGAGGGTCACCTCACTTACCAAGGGAAAGGCAGAGAAAATCCTGCCAGGGGATGCGGCCGTGTGCCCCAGGAGCCTGTCCAACCCCAGAGAGCAAAAACACCCACCCACTGTAGGAGCCTTGTACAAGTGGGGAAATTGAGGCCAGAGGGGGACAGCAGGGCAGCCTTCCCAGGTGGCCGGCAGGTCAGCACACAAGCCACAGCTGCAGGGTGGCTGGAGTCAGGGGCCGCCCTGGGGGAGGTGGGTAGGTGGCAGGGGATCCACAGGCCCGGGACCCCCTCCGCTCTGTGCACTCTCATGCCCTTGGGTGGTGGCCAATACCATCACATTGATGCCCTCAAGCTGCTACTCAGCCCCCTCCAGTGTGCAGGGCCCGCAGGCAACCTACCATCCCACCAGCCTACCCGGGCCCGCTCCAGCCTTCCCTTCTCAGGGCACCGCCATTCCTACGGCCCACTTTCTCTCTCACCAACTCCTGTTGGTACCCCCTGCAAAATGAACCCAGCACCCACTCCCTCAGACAGCTTCCTAGCCTTCTGCAACTGGGACCACTAAGGACGGCTGGCTCTCCTGCAGGGGAGAGGGGGCCCAAAGCTTCATCGACCCCTATCCGGCAGGGCAGCTGGAGCAACAGTGCAGTCTCACTGGGGAGGCCAGGGCTCCTCAGGAAGCGAAGGAACGGCAGCTTCTGGGGCTGTGCAGTCCTTGAAGGCCACCCCGGGGGCCTGGCCTCAGTCATCTCCAGATCCTCCCAAGTCCTCACGGGGCACAGGCTTCCCGAAGCAGATTAAAGAGGTGAGAGGCAGAAACTGGAAGACCTCCAGGCTGGTGGGGGTGGGCAGGACCCACTGCTCAGGGAGCAATCTTGGTTGCTCTTGTTGTTACTTAGGAATTAATAGAAAGCAAGCATTTGTAACCTGATTTAGAGGAGACACAACGCCCAAAAACCGGGAACGAGCGAAGGACTCTGGGCGGTGTGAGGCCCCACACGGCCTTCACAGACTTTCAGCAGACCCACCTGGGAGCACTTCAGATCCGAGGGCCACCCCCGACACGCGCAGGAGGAAAAAGGTACGTCTAATTTTACTTTGCTTTCTCCTTTTAGAGAAAGAACAACTTTTGAAAGCACAGCAGTTCTCTGAGGCCTCCCGTCGGACGGAGCTGGCACTTCCACCAGCCCGCCCTCGGCACCTGAGAGCTGGCGGGAGCTTCGGGAATCACCCACTCCCGTCCAGCACCCACAGACACACCCTGAGCAAGGCAGCGACAGGAAACGCCCTCCTCTTCTGTCGCCCCAGCCACCAAAACACCTTTATTCATGTAACGTGCCTTCTGGTCCAAACCAAACGCTGCATTCAAATACGGAATCAGCGGTCACGCCCACAATCAATTCTCATAGTTACGACGCCGAACGCAGACGCGAAACGTGAGAAACTGGCATCGCGAACCACTGCTGTGGGCTCTCTCTCCACACACAACCGCTCTTAGCTTTGCAGGCACGGCCCACACCCCAGGTGCTGCAGACCCCAGGTGAGACCTGCAGGAGGCGGGAAGGGCTGCCAGGAGCGCAGGCCACATCACGGGGACAGTTTCATCGGGAGGAATATTTGATGTTTAGCGGGTATTCCCATTTCTGTTTGCGTCATTTGCTCATTTGTATAAATGTATATACATCTTTTGCCAAATTTATGTTGGGTTTCTTTTCTTTTTCTCACCCCTGTGAACACCCATTGTCTCCTTGACCTTAAATTTCGGTGAGGTCGCACTCTGGAGCTCTTCACCCCCACCCCGTGCGACTACAGGAGGATCTGCGCCTCCCCGCAGGAACCCCTCTCCCCCAGAACCCATGCTGACTGCTATTTATAAAGCTGTTTCTTCTTCGCTCTCCCACTCAAATCTAAAATTAAATATAGCTTTTCTAAAACTGAACTATTTTTCCTTTCAAAGCCTCAACCAGCCACACCGCCTCCTGCCGCTGTCATCTCTACTCCACCGTCCTCACCAGAATCCTCGGCACGTCGCCTACCCGGGGCTCTCGCCTGCGAGATGACAGTGTGTTCAGTGATTCCCTCTGAATTTGCAAATCGGTCCTGCAGTCCCACAGCACAGCGGTTCCCCTAGACCACTCTATTTACCATTTTCAACCCACTCCAGACCATGGGCGTCTTACGAGGATGCTGCAGTGTTGAATGGGATCAAAGCCAGTCTGGTCTTGGCCATGCCCTAAACCATGACACCCTGTGACTGGGGAACCCCCATCAACACCCAACCAGCTCCCCTGCGAGCCAGCTTCCGGGATACAGGGAAGGCCCCGGGACTGCTGGCACCAGCTACGTATGGCCCACGCCTTCACCTGGAGTCTTCCTCCCGTCAGGGGGCTCTGCTGTCTGGACTAAGGGCTCCCTGAAGCCCTGGCACACACCCATGATGCCAGCACAGGGCACGGTGCTCACGCCCTGGTGCTGTTGGTAAGTAACTAGTAAAAAGGTGTGTGAAAGAAAACACGTTTACTCATTCTGCAGACACTTCCTGAGCACCTGCGATGTGCACTCTGGACAAACGGTGTCCAGGTACAGGGAGAACGAGGCTGACAGAGACCGCAGCACCGCCTGGCTCAGACGGCACGGGTGCAGCCCGTGTCAAGATGGCACGCGCAGGTGTCCAGGTGTGGGCCTGTGGGAAGAGGGCGTGGGGTGGGGGTGCAAGCTCAGCTAAGAAATCAGGAGTAGAGAGTGCAGAGTACCATGGAGGGAGGGCCCAGGCAGGGTGGTTATGTGAGCATCACAGCCGATGCCCCAGTTCCTGCTTCAAGATGACCGATGGCAGGCAGGTGCCGGAGCCGCTCCTCTGGTCCCCAGGCTGGCCTCCCGGTCCTGCCCACACGCTCTCCTGGACAGTCCTCATGCCTCCTCACCCGCGAAGCTCTGCACAAATCCCCCTTCCCTGAAGTTTTTGGGACTCCCAGCCAGAGTTCTGTCCCTCTGGTCCCTACATATGAGGTCCCCCATGTCCAACCTGCAGCCCCACACTCTAGAGGTGAGATTCCACCATGATCCAGGCTGCAGGCTGGGAGGCCCTTCCATCGCTGCCTGGTCACCCCGAGGACTCAGCTCCTACAGGGCCTGGCTCACAGCAGCTGCTCGCAAGAAGAACACAGGAGGAAAGGGAGCAGAAACTCTGAGAGGTGTAAGCGTCTGGGCTGCACACGTTCCACTGTGGGAACAGGCTAAGCTCCAAAAGCAGAAACTGGCTGCAGATTCCTATTTGGAGGCTGCAGGGACTCAGTTACACTTGACCTATTTCCACAGGCTCTCACCCATGGGGCAGGACACCTGTGATTACATTTCCTTGGAAGGCAGCTTTCAAGGTATCAAGCTCCCACGTGCAGAAACGGGCCCTGGAGGCGGGAGCCCCAGGAGCAGTGGAGACGCTCCAATGAGAACGGGGCCAGAAGGGCAGCCCAAGAGCAGGACCCCCACCACCAGCAGCTGGGGAGAGGCTGGAGATGCCAGGGCCCTCCTGGGAGGTACCAGCTTTGTCCTCAAGGCCAAGGGGAGGAGAAGCACAGGAGATGCTGAGGACAAGGGGCCTGGCACAGGCCAGGCACAGGGAGGGCCCAGCCTCATCTGCCCATTGAGCGATATCCAAAAACAACAGGGTCAAAATGCCAGCACTGCAGCCACAGCAGCACGAGGGGCTATCGCAGGTGCACGGGTCTCACAGCTTCACAAAGCAGAGCCATGCCAAGCACTCGCTGTGAAAGGCAGCCTATTTCTTAAGTACTGTTCCTTCAACAGGTCATTCCTGAGCCCCAGCCTGTGTCCCAGGACACTGGGGGTCTGCTCCACACTGGGGGACTCAAAGTCCAGACGGGGCCCACAGGTGGTAAGGTGAACCAAAGGCCCACACCCTGACTCCCAAGGTGCACATTTTGCACATTTTAATTCCGAGGTTGGGAAAGGATCTTACAACACGGCCAGGCCGAGGTTTGCAGCAGCATTTCGCTCTGTTGGTATCCGAGGACCTCTGGGGCTGGGGACCATGGGGGTGCTGCAGATAGTGACACATCGTGGGGGGCTCAGGAGAAGCAGGCTCCTGGGACCATTCCAACAAAAAGGTCCACCTGCGTGCTCCGCCAGGACCCCGCCTTCCATGTCCAGCCAAAACAGGCCCGTCACACATACCTCAGAACTGCACCTCCCTCAGGGGACCCTTCCCCAAGGCAGCACGCTTCCCATTCAGCCCAGGCCCTGAGACAGACCCTCAGGAGCTGTGGCCCAGGGAAACGCCAATCTCCCCGGATCTCCCGCATGGTCTGAGTAAAAAGAATCCTGAAATTCAAGATCCGTGGCATTTCTAGCTGCTCACATTTGTTTAACAAACATCTCCAGATAGCCCTGATGCTTTCTGCCTGTAATGAGGCCCTCGTGGAGAGCACCTCCCAAGCCCCCTGTGGTGGGAGCCCCACCCCCAACACATCCTGCATCAGGGGATCCTGCTGCAAGAGTCCCCAGTGTGCCTGGCCCATCGTACTCCGAACTGCCCACAGATATGGGGAGCCCCCCCAGCACATCCTGGCCCAAGCCCGCAAAAGCTGCAGGAGCCCCCAGCCTGCCTGCCCCACACGACCTGCAGATACAAGGACCCCCCCAGAACATCTTGGCCCAACCCCCTGGCCTGCCCTGTATACCCTGCCCTGCACTATCTACAGATACTGGGACCCTCCCCCACCTCCCAGTGCCGCCCGCCCAGAACATCCTGGCCCAAGTCCCGCCCCCTTAGCTGCAGGAGCCCCCGGCCAGCCCTGTACACCCTGCTCCACACTACAGGCAGATACAGGGGGCCCCCCGGAACATCCTGGTTCACCCCCCCTTCCCCGAGTTGCAGGAGTGCCTCTGTCCCCACAATTCTGGGTCTGTGCCACCATCTCCAGGGAGCCCACCAAGCACATCCTGGCCCTGTCCCCGGCTGTGGGAGACCCTCCACCCAGGACATCCTGCTCCCCCCAGCTGCAGGGAGCCCCTGGCCCACCAGTAATGTCTGTGTGGCAAGGCTGAACCCTGGTGCTGGCCAGCGGGTAGAACGGGAGTGGGCAGGGGAGTGGGCCCTGGCAAGTATGTCCACTCCTCTGAGTGCAGGGAGGGACAGAGGTGACCAGCCTGATGTGCAGCTCTGGACAGAGCGGGAGGGCTGCTGGGGGCCGGAGGCCACTGCCCGGTGGCAGTTGTGGGAGAGGCAGAAATGACCCGGATCGCTCTAAGGTGAGGGACAGGAGAGCCCACTCTTTACAGAGACCTCCCCACAGGCACGGGCGCCACGTGGTCCTGGGGCCACTGACTGGGCAAAGACAACCTGGCACAGGGACAGGTCGGGTCTAGTCTGGGATGTGCTGAGCTTGGTGGAGGCACGGGACCCATGAGGACGTCACAGTGATGACTCACACGGCACAGAGGTGACCATGACCCTGCCCTGATGGGGGCAATGACTCGCTGCTGCAGAAAGGTGGATCTGACCCCTGCGGGGTAGCCTAGGAGAACAAAGGGACTTCACCCTAAGGAGCCCAGGCATGCCATGTCTGATCCACGCCTGCCCAGCCTGGTGGCATCCCCGCTGTCTGTGCTTGGACACCAGCCCTCCCCAGCTCCAGGGCCCTGGCCCTCCAATACCTTGGCCCAGCCTTGGTTCTACCCCAAGGGTTTTTAAAACATTTAGAACTGGGAGACTGTTTTCTTTCTTTCCTTTTTTTTTTTTTTAAAGCTTGTATGTGGCAAATACCTTCTTTTAAGAGGAAATAACTCACTCCTCTGGCTCTAAGAGGGAAGTGTGAAATTCAAGAGTAAAATAAAGGTTTGGAAAAGGCTGCTGTCCCCAGGTACCAGCCCCACCCCGGCAGTGCCTCCCCACACAGGGGACGAGGGGACGGGGACGAGGTTGGAGGGCCATCAACCAAGCAGAGGAAAGACCGCACTGAGGGAAGCTGGGAGCTGACTGTGATATAAGTTCAAGAATAGCCCTCACCTTTAACACACTAAGCTCACGCTGCTGGAACACAGCTGAGAAGCCAGGGATGCGCTGGTTTTAATACAACAAGTATCCCTCAGGGTTGCAGAAGGACGTGGGTTTCAGAGGGACAAACACTGATCACATTAGAAAATAGTGTTATTTCCAAACACAAGCCTAGCATCATGCTTTTTTCCCGGGCTCATTTTCAAAATGATTTACACCTAGACTGAAGGTTTACACTGGCAATGCTGGAAACAGTAACTGGGAATGGTAAGCATGCCCCAGCACCCACAGGAGGCCCACAGGACTCGGAGGGGATGGTGGTGGCCCCGGCCATTCTGAGAACCATGGTACTTTTGTCATGGGCCGCGTGGGGATGAGGGCCCTGGAAACAGGAAGAGGAAGGTCAGAAGGGCTCCTCCTGCGGTCTCTGTGTCAGAGGCAGGGACATGGCTTAGCAAGACGGGTGACCTCGTGGAAGCCTAGCTTGGACACTCCCAACCAGTCATGCCCAAGCAGCACAGCCCAGGGCGCCTTCTTAGACAAGAGCCGTGAGAGGGAGCCACATTCTCCACTGCCTGGGCCCTCCCAGCACTCGAGGGCGCTCTGCCCGTGCGGGCACAGGAGGCACTGGGCATGGGCCAGACACCCAGCAAGTGTGGTAGTCGAGTCCCACACCCGGCTCCTACAGCAGGTCTCCTGAGTGGCCACTTTTTCAGGCACAAAATCCTAACATTTTTATACGAGAAACAAATAATTCAACTGCAAAAAAATACCAATGTTAGGAAGAAATGATTTAAATGAAATGGAAGCAAGTAGTGATCACAGCTTGACATTTTCTAAAGACTACAGTTCATATAGGAACAGAGAGGACGTGTGAAATTCAAGAGTAAAGTCAAGGTTTGGAAAAGGCCGCTGTTCCCAGACAGGAGCCTCCACCCCTGCCAGTGCCTCCCCACACAGGGGACGAGGGGACGAGGGGACGAGGTTGGAGGGCTCAAGAGAGCTGCAACCGGAACACTCTGAACGCAGTTGTGGGCCGCCTGCCGCCTCTTACTAAAGAAACTGGACATCAGAGAGGAAGCGTTTGCGAAGTTTGGTGACGGCTCACACGGACTAATGCACAAGTGAACCGCGGGGCTGACGGACGCCTTGGGGTTCCCACCCCACTCAGAGCACGGCCCTACAGCCTCTCTCAAGCCTACCCACTCCTGAACCTGGGTCCCACAGGGCGTGGGATGCGCCATGGCCCCATGCATGGGATGAAGGGCTTGGGCTGGGTGACTGGCTGGACGCCTTCCAGAGAAAAGGCAATGCGTGGTTTAAAGCAGGGAAAAAAAAAAAAAAACCCCGCTGCAAAAAAAGAGAAAAATATAAGACAGAGCTGATGTCTTACCCCAGGTTTTTTGTCCCAGGCATGGTAAAAACTTAAAATGCACCTGCTGCGGCCAGCACCGACCACAGCTGTGAACAGCAAGCAGAGATAGGAGCAGAGCCCACGTGGCCCCGTGTTCCAGTGCGAGGAAGGAGCGGGCCCCCAGCGCCGACGATGATAGGGGGCCAGCCCCAGGCAAGAGGCCAGCATCATTCTGAAATGTATAAAAACATGTGCTCCTTTAGAGTTCCGGAGCCACGACCACAGGCAGCAAAGCAGGCGCCCTGGGTGTCATCTCCTGTCTGGAAATGGGAAGGTGCCACCTCACTTGTCTGAGAAGGGAACCGTGCCTGCAGGAAGTGCGCAGAACAGGGCACATGCGGGGGGGAAGAAAGCACCTCCCGTGGCTCACGCCAGCCTCGCGTGGAAGAAAGCACCTCCCGTGGCTCACGCCAGCCTCGCATGGAAGAAAGCACCTCCCGTGGCTCACGCCAGCCTCGCGTCCTGAAACAGACCTAGAAGCTGCAGAGTTTTAAAAGTTGGCACAGATGAGTGCTGACAATATAAAGATAAAGGACTCTTTCTCACGATGAAACAGGAGTGCAAAGACAGTATCCATTTAAGACGAGCTTTGGGCCACGATCACGGGCTTCCGCGTGAAACTGATGGTGCTTTGCTGTCAGCTGTAAAACAAAACTATGTGTGTGCGTTTCTGTGTGTATGTGGGTATGCTTATGTGGATGTCTGTGTACACTTGCATGTATATGCGTGTGTATGCACTCACATGTATGTGTGTATGCGTGTGTGTGCACACATATTCTCATACGCACACTCATATTAGAAATCCAAGTTTTAGGACAGAATACTATAAAAAATGAAGAGTAAAGTCTTTTCCAATTTTGAATCCCCTTTCCCATTCTGCAAAGTTAACCACAACTGTTTCATGAGTGCATCATTCAGCAAATTAGGATTACAGGAACGCTCTCGATGACTTTGAGAAAAAAAGCCAGTTTCCTAAGGTCAGGGCTCCTTGTGAGGTCAGGGCAGGGCATCCACGCTAAGACAGCCCATGCTGCCCTCCCTGCCTGGGAGACGGCATAGCACCTGGGCTTCTGTGGCCTCACCTGTGCTTCCTGGGGCGAAGGATGACACTGACCAGAGGTAAGGATACGGGAAAATGATACATGGGCCTCTACTGGGCCAGAACAGTTGGCACCATCACACCCAGGTCATCAGAAGGCAGCTGGGGGCCATGGGCCTGGCACCATCTCCAAGGCCTCTGAGGCATCCAGGGAGGGAACAGGCCCTGTCCAGCCCTGGCCTTCTCCACCCTCCCCAAGGGACAGGCACTCTCCTGCACATCCTCCACAGGGTGTGGCTGCCCTGTGCTCCCGCCGGGTACGCTGCCCAGGGCTCCTTGGGCCACCCCACCCCTCCACACCCACTGCCCAGCACTGGGGCTGAGCCAAGAGCTGGTCTTACTGAATCCAGGCAGGCAGCACCCGGGGACCCCATGGGCAGCAGGAGCAGCTCAGAGAAGCTTGAGGAACCTCCATCCCTGTGCATGTGTGCCTGGAGGGCACCACAGGTCAAGAACACACGACAAACACAGCCATCCACATGAGGAACCTGGCAAGGTGTGCGGGCACATGATTTCCTGCTCGGGAGTGGCCACGCTGGACTCAGAAGTGAGGATGAGAGGGCAGAGTCCTGCTCCTGAGTTTGTTTAAAAAAATCACAACTCAGGCATTTGTATAAAAATATGGAGAAAAAGATGGCCCACTTTTGGGTAAATTCCATGCAGGGCCACCAGGCAGGGAGGGGCAAAATCTGTCCCTGGACTCAACCCTCATCATAATCCTCTCTGTGGATTAGCCAGCGTGGGCAGGCGGGCACCCAGCAGCCTCCTCCACTCTGAGACAGCGACGCACGTCCAAGGGCTCTGCCACAAGGTGCACAGGAAGGCGTTATGCTTTCCAGAATGTAAGTTCTTGCCGACTCTGGTTCTGAGCAGCAGAAGACTTCAGAAATGGGGAAAATGCATCAGAACCAGGGTGGGAAATACTCATACCCACAGCCTCCAAGGAAAGTACCGAGAAAACCCTGGGTGATAGACAACCACTCACGACTCCAAAACAATACATGAATGTGTGACTACAAAGAACTTCAGCTGAATTCACCGAGATCCTACAATATACTATTCACTGCTCTCTGCTAAATCTATATCCTTGCTTTAGCCCAGGGATTAAAACATTGCACGCATTACAGACCCTGATGGCTTTGATACCTCTTTTCAGATCTTAATGTGCTGTTTTCTGTCCAAAGAGGTAGTTAAGCTCCTCATTAAATCTGTAGTTAAATGACAGATGGGCTGGCTGGGGAGGTGTCCCTGCATGGTGTTAATCCGAAGCACACAGCAGCCCCTCCCAGGTGGCAAATGCTCACAGGTAAATGCAGGTAGTCACTGGTTTATCTCCACTGGGAACTTAGCTGGGTTCCTGAGGGTTCTTGAGTATGTCAGCCACTACTGGAGCCATTTCTTTCTTTGGGGAAGAAGGCTCTCTTGGCTTAAAAGATAGGCTATTTCACTCTGTGGAAACTTTACAAGAATATATTACATAAAAGTAAAAGCTTTGCAAAGCAATGCCTGGTGAAAAGCAAAATGTTTCGAGAACATTTACAAACTATACCCTGAGCCACACATTGCAGACATCCAGCAGAAACAACTGGATGTACAAACACACCCAGTTACTCAGATGGGGCCTCTGAAGTGACAACGAAGCAAAACCCCTTCTTCTCAGAGGCCCCAACACCTAAAGCCAGGATCTCTGCCTGGCTTCGGCTCAAGGGAGAACAGCTGCCCGAAGCCTTCAATCTTGGGACCAGGAGCCTCTCGATGACCCCCTGCCCAAGAGCCACTGGGAGCAGCTTGCACCCTGAGGTCTCGGGGAGGAAAGCAGGCCCAGGGACTGGGCACTCTGGCTCTGTCCTGACATCTGTACCTACCCATGAGAGTCTCTGCCCTGCTTCTCGCCAGGGCAGCGGGTGCACACTTTTGGACAGAACACACCTCAACCGGGGGGCTGCAACTAGGACAGGGATGACAAAGTCGCCTCTGGGGACCTCCAGGGAGGAGGGGCTTGATGTTTCCCCCAGGGAGTCAGCAGGGAGCAGGAAAGGCAGGAAGAGAGAACATGCCTGATGCAGGCAGAGCTGGGGCAGGAGCAGGGCTGGGAAAGCCCTGGAAACCACATCAGGGGTTCACATTTCATCGGGGCGTCAGGGCTGAGGGCTTCCGAGCAGCAGAGTGCAGGAGAAAAAAGCCTGCTGGGAGTGATCCAGGTAGAGAGCCTGGTGGCTGGGTGGGGGTGAGGACTGAAGAGGAGGAATGGTTGAGGGGCACAAAAATGAGCGACCGTGTCCCAAAGCCCTCCTTTGAGGGGCACAGCACACGGCAGCTGACAGCATGTGGCAGAGGGAGTGCCAGGCAGAGCGGTGGCCGAGGGGTCTGCACGGTCCCAGCCCCAGAGTCCAGCTGCGACACACACGGAGCCGAGCCGGGGGAGCGGGGGGGCGTGGGGGAGCGGCAAAGGGCCTGGGAGCCAAGCTGGGGATGACCTCACCCTGTGGGTCACCAGGAGGGGCGGCACCATCGGGCTCTCCTGCTCCCCGTCCCCTTCCATACCCTGAGGACCAGCCGCATCAAGGGGCTTTGACCTAAAGCAGGCGTCCTGGGAAAATAACAACCTCAAACTGGCGTCAGTAACTTTTCACTTTAGTGTTCTTTCAGATAAAGTACTTTATGCATGAACACATCTCCATCTTCCCGGACACTGTATTCTCACAGTTGGAAGTGTGCTCCCTATAAACCGGACAGCCCCATAGGCCCTGAAGCGGTGCTTGCTTGTAGGAATTATTCTGGAGTCAAAAGTAAGGTCCTCTTGAGAGTGGATCTCAGGCAACTGCAAACCCAGCTGGTAGCGGGAAAAGCCAGGCTAAGCCAGCACATCTCCGGCGCAGTTTCCTGCAGCGAGCGGCCCCCTCCCCACGACGCCCCCGGGTCTCCCCTCATCACTGTCCGATCGCAAGATCTCAGCAAACCGTTCCCTCCCACGTGGCAGCCCAGGCTGCATAAAGTTGATTCTGGTCACAGACCAGCCCCGAGAAAGCATCCCTTACAACAGGAGCGAAGCATGCACCCCAGAAGGCAACGTGCGGCCGCAGAGCAGGGGGACCCGTGCGCCTACAGGGGACCCGCACCGCCTGCGCGCCCCG